CTGCACCCCAGAGCCTGTGAGCAAGGCCAAGGGACACCAGGGGCTCACCTGATGGAACCACAGCTCATGAACTGTTCTGTGCACCCCTCAAGTGCACAAAATCAGGGAGTAAGAAGAGGCAGGTTGCTGCTGAAAGCTCCAGGCTGCCCATTTGGTGCACAAGCTGCAATTCTTGGACTGGGAACAAATTCCCAGTGATTAACAGGAGGAGCTGCTGCTGCCAGGGCAGTGACCTCCGGCTGGTGGGCTACAGCATCCCACCAGAAAGATGGAAACATCCCCTCCCCTTTCTTGTTCTTGAATTTTAAGCCAAAGAGCCACATTTAATGTGCATTCCTGTAACAGCAGGGGATTGTGTGCTGGGCTCTGGGGAGGAGGGAAGGGATTAATGGGGATTAACTCCCCTGACAGACACCTCACCTGGCAGGAATGCAGGATGTGTGTGAGGAATTCATCTCCCAGAGAGAGATGGCTTGGAAAGGGCTTTTTGAAATGGACAAAGAGGGCCAGAACAAGTGATGGGATTTCTCTCACAGCTTTGGAAAGCAAAATATTACTGCCCTGTGAGGGGGAGGAACGGGGAAATGCCCACAGCATGGCACACCTCAGGTACCTGAAAATGCCTGGGCTGCTCTGCTCCCTTGACCTGCCCATCTTGGCGCTCTGAGGCTCCATCCCCCTGCAGAGGGCCAGGGCTGAGGTTGGGGCAGTGCAGGAGATGCTGCCAAGGGCAGAGCTCACAGCCAGCCCTGCCCTTGGTGCCACCCGGACAGCAGCCAAAGGAGCTGTGACAATGGCAATGAGCAATTTTCATGTATAAAAACCAAACAAACTTGCTGATCCTATTTGCACTTTCACTCATGCTCACTTTCCAGGGTTGAGCCCTTTTTGGTGCTAATCCCCTTTGGCATGGCCCTGATCCCACACAAGCAGCACAGAGCTGGTGGCTCTCCCTCTCCCACAGGGCACCAGTGCCAGCCCCAAGGCAGGGCAGTAGGTGTCCTCCCACCTTTGGCATCTCAAATTCAAAGAAAATTGCTTGCTCTGTAGCAAGGACAGAAGGTAGTTAAACACTGTGAGGCCTACAGCTTTCTCCTGCACTCCTTATTTTTATGTGTCACGTTAAATTCCCTCGGTGGCAGTCTGTATTCTCTGGGTACTTAACAAGGATAGACAAAGCATGGCAGCTCTGAACAAATCATCCCAGCCCCTGGTGCAGGAGAAATGTCCTTCAAACCCATCTGGATTTCAACTCCCATGCAAAACAATAATCTGCCACTAAAAGAGAGAATTAAATACAAAGACACCAGAGATCTTTTAACCTTTGCCAGCCACACAGAGGAGCCAGACTTTAAACCTGTCTGCACTCAACACACCCTCAGGCAAGAGCCAAGGAGCAGAGCTGCTCTGCAGGGGCCACTGCTGCTTTTTGCTCTGACCCACAGGGCAGCAGATGCCACCTCCCAGTGCCCCTCTGAGGGCTCAGAGCAGCCCCAGTCCCTCCCCAGGTGCTCTGAGGACAGGCTCAGTGAGGAGAGCAGTGCTCCAGGATGTGCTCTGCCATCAGCCCAGTCCTCTAGCAGCAGCCTCAGAGATGCCAATCACAATCAAAAAGACTTTTTTCCCATTTCATTCCTTGTGACAAGCGCTTTTACCTTGCATGTCCCTCCTGGGTGCCCCAGCTCCGTGGGGCTGAGCAGAGGCAGGGAGGCTCAGGGCTGGCCTGGGCCAGGGCTCTCCCTGTCCCCCACATTTTGGGGCAGTGAGGGACACCCAACAGCCCCTCCGCCCCAACATCTCACCATGTGCTCTGTGAGGCACCAGCCCCACCTGGGCTCAGCCAGGGAAGGTGAAATGCAGCACCTGGGGCAGATTACCTACCAGCAGCTGCTCTGCTCTTCCTGCCTCTTCTGAGAGGCAGAGAGCTGAAGCAGTCAGAGGGCCCTTCATCCCCCAGCCTGGCCTTCAGCTTCCTCTGAGCCCCCTCCCTGGAGAGGCACCAATACACAGCACCACGAGGGAACTCCTGAGCCCTGTCCCTGCCCTCCACACCGCCCCAAGGGAGGGCAGGGATGTGCCAGTGACCCCTGTCCCCACTGGGATCCCGTGGGATGCTGCTGCAGCCGACACGAGTTCTTGGAAAAAGGGCTGGCTTTGGTCACACCTCAGTGCCTGCACTGTGGTTAAACAGCCTGTGAGGCTCCAGGTTTCTCATTAAAGGCAGAAAAACCAGTCAGAGGTTACCTGGCAGAAGGCAGCGTCCCCTCCTGTGACCGAGGTGACCCCAAAGTGACTGAGCCAAAGGCAGAGCTGCTGAAATCTGCCAGATTCCTCCTCCAGCAGGACACTCTGCAGGCACTTAAATACCCAATTTTCAGATGCTGCTTCCTCCCCAGAGCCTGGCATCCATCCATGCTCCTGTTCCAGCTAAGGAAGGGCCTGGGGCAGCGAGTGCTCCCTGCAGGACTCGTGGCTGGGCTGGCAGCACAGGGACCCGAGGGCAGCACTGCCATGGCACCCCCTGCACGGGCAGGATGGCACCAGGATGGCACCAGGACGGGGCTGCTCCAGAAAGCAACAGATGCAAAACCCCAACAGCATTCCCAGACTCCAAAGGCTCCTGCAGACACCCCAAGCAGAGAGACAGATGAAAGCTCTCTGTGCATACAAAGTGCACACAAAGCTCATTTTCTTTCTCCCCTCAGTGCATTGGAGACAATTTGCATCTTGTTGAAGATTCTGCTGTCACTGCTACTGCTCTGCTTTTGGCAGAGATGGAGACAGGTCCAGCTCACAGCTGGGCACACCCAGATCTCAGAGTAGGGGGACCCCATTTGATCACACAAATCTGTGTTTGTGATCTGTGGAGTTTGGTGCCTTCCCTTAAAACCATCTGCAGTCTGGGGTACTTGAGTGGAAAGCAGGGGAAAGGATCTGTTTGGTCCCAGCTCTTCACAGAGCATCAATGGGGAAAGGGGCTCACACAAAACCCTACAATAAATCTGAGATTAGCACACAGCCACTTCATTTTTAATTTTCTTCCCCATGCAGACTGGCAGCGTGACAATGGCAACAGAGGGAATCGGTCATGGTTGTCAAGTTCAGGCAATTTTATTGAGAGAAAAAAAATTAACTGCAACTTTAATGGGTTTTTTTTTTAATGTTTATAGGGCCTGGAGCTACTAATGAATCAAACATAAGTATCCTCTAAATTGCCAGTTCTGGTCCACCCACTTTGCTCCTCAAAATCCACTTCAACCTCTCTGCTCCCCGT